GGTGGACAGGGGCGCCGGCTGCACGTGCCGCCCCGCCTCGCAGCCGGCCGGCCGGCCGGCCGGCCGGCCGGCAGGCGGGCGGCGGAGGCGGCCCGCACTGCGGTACGGCTGAACGACGGTACCGCTGCACGGCAGTACCGCTGCTCGTGCACCCGCACACACCCACACGGCGCAGGCGTGCAGCACAGCGGTACTGACGCACACACAGGCGGTACAGGGCGGTACGACGCCCACCTGGCTCCCCCGCCGCAGGCGCCGCGTCCGCCCACTCCAGCAGGCGCAGGAAGAGGGGCCTGAAGCGTGCCTCTGTCAGGCGCAGCGCCAGGCGCACGTAGCAGGCCACTGCCGCTGCCTCTGTTCGGTCCAGGCCGTCGCTGCGGGCAGGGCAGGGCAGGAGCAGACCGGGGTAAAGAACATCAGCGAATAAGCTTCTAACAAGCTTCTGACAAACTTGGAAAATCAGAAGCTGATGTTTTATCTGTGAAATGAGAGTCATGCCGAAGTAATACATTTGAGGCAGCGCGGGCGCGGCGCAACACAATCTTCGCTAGATGTGGAACGGAGCGGCGGCAACTAGAGGCGGGCACCCCCACCTGGCGGCCAGCAGGGCGGCAGGGCGGCGGCGGCGCAGGTCCAGCGCCCGCAGCAGCGCCGCGGCCACGGCTTCGTAGTGGGAGGAAAGCGCGGCGCCGTCCATGGCGTCCACCGCCGCGCCCAGCAGGCCCAGGAGGCCGCAGGCAGACTCCGGGCCGGCCTGCAACAAAAGATGCAGCACCCACAAAACAGCGTTGGCTTCCTATAAAACATCGTTTCGCTTTATGGCAGCGACATGCCAGCGCAGCACAGGGCAGGCAGGGCAGCCGGCGCCCCGCAGCCCCACTGCCAGCCCACCTCTGCCGCTGCATCCAGGTGCGCGAGCAGCGGCGGCAGCAGGAGGCGGGCGGGCACCGCCAGCGCCAGCTGGCGCCTGACGGCGCCCGCCACGTCAGCGCAGCGCGCCGCCGAGCACTGCGAGGGGGGGCGGGGGGGAGGGACAGGGGCAGGCCAGGCGCGTCAGCAAAGCAAAGTAATACCAGCACCACAAAGCAAAACAA